CAGCTCAGACCCCTGGATGGGTCAGGGCCCACCTGGGTGATGAACGTCCCATAACATTGACGTCTGCTCCAGGCTCAGGAGGTGCCACTTCCTCAAGGTGTACAAATCCGGGTTGACTTCCTTCGACGTCTTCTTCCCCAAGGCTTGGGCGATGCTCAGAGCACTCCGGGGCCCATTGGCCTCCAGCAGCCTGTAAATCTTTTCCTCTGCAAAGCAGGAGGCTCATGGTTAGGAGGCCCCAGGGCCCCTCTGTGCGCTGACTCCTCATCTGTCAAGTGGGTGTCATAACAGTGTGGAAATCGCTGCACAAGGGACCGGGAAGCATCTGGCATCCAGTAGGTACACAAGTCAGATCAACTGCTGGTTGAACAGGAATCCTTGGGTGGCACGGGCAGTGAAGGCTGAGGTTTGAGTGCCCCCAGGGGCACCTCGGAAGAAAGGCCTGGCAGTCTACTTTTGAAAAATTAGCCACTGACAGCCTTGTGGAGGGTGGGTGTACACTGACACACCTGAGGTCACATGAGTCAGGGGAGAGCTGACGGTAACTGGTCACTAGGCAGAGAAATCATTCCTTGGCCATGTAAATGTTTTATTACAAAGACAGAGCCTTGCCACCAAACACAGGGGGACCTCATGGCAGTGGGTCATGGCCCTTGGGTGGTCTGGACATCCCAGGTGGCCCAGGAGGGCTGGGGTGAGTGGGCCTAGGTCCCTGGGGGTGGGCGAGAGGAAAGGGAGATGCTTACGTTGTTCAGTGAGGGAGGGCGCAGGGCTCTGTGGAATGTTGGCTGCATCTGGCAGGCACCTCTGGGCTGGAGACAGAAAAGTAGGTCAGAGGGCATAGGACGGGGATGAGGGTGGGTCGGGGGGAAGGGTCCCTTCCAAAGGTGAACCCCAGTAGTTTCTAACTCAGACTCCAGAGTTCAACAAATAGGGCCTAGATCCCACCCTGCCCCCTTCCGCTGTGTGACCTGGTGGGTGTTAAGGGGCCCCTGGGGCCCAGTTTCTTGTCTTGTAGACCAGGGAGACAGAGTAGATTAGAATAGCTCAGAATCCAATAGACTCCATTAGAATAAAATAAAGTAGATACGATTCAACAGAATTGAATCAAATAGAAGATAATAGATTAGGATAGGAGAGGATACATTAGAATCAATTAAAATCTAATCAAATGAATTATGATAGATTAAGACAGGTGACAAAAGGTTAGAGTGGAATGAAATAGGTCAGAATTGGATCAGACTAGAAAAGAATAAATTAGAGTCAAATAGATTCTAGTAGAATAGAGTAGATGGGGTAGGATAGGATTGGGTAGGGTAGAGTAGGATAGGATAGGGTTAGGGGAGGGGAGGGGAGGGAAGGATAGGATAGGTAGGATAGGATCGGACAGTGTGGGATGGACAGGATAGGATAGGACAGTGTGAGATGGGATAAGATAGGATAGGATAGGACAATGTGGGATGGGATAGGAGAAGAGAGGAGAGGACAGTGTGGGATGGGATAGGACAGGATAGGATAGGACAGTGTGGGATGGGACAGGAGAGGAGAGGAGAGGACAGTGTGGGATGGGACAGGAGAGGAGAGGAGAGGACAGTGTGGGATGGGATAAGACAGGATAGGATAGGACAGTGTGGGATGGACAGGACAGGACAGGATAGGACAGTGTGGGATGGGATAGGGGAGGAGAGGAGAGGAGCTCCCTCCCAGGGTTGCAGAGGACCAAGTCAAATAACCATGAACCTGGAAACCGCTCCGTCCCCAGTAAATGTCAGCTCTGTGTGTGTTGTTGGTCATCACACTATAAAAAAAGGATCCAGAGTGATACTAAGAAGCCCTGGTGGCCCAGTGGTGAGGCATCAGGCTGCTCACTGAAAAGCAGGTCGGTGGTTCGAACCCACCAGCTGCTCTTCCGGGAAAGAGAAGGCAGTGTGTTTCCACAAAGACAACCGCGTTGGAAAGCTGAGGGGCGGTCCCCCTCTGTCCTGGAGGGTGTCTCTGCTCTCGGTGTGATAGTACACATGCTATTAATCAGTCTGCTATTCTGCTGGAGTCCCTGGCTCCAGTATCAACAGGCTCTTGACTCCTGGCCTCAAGGGCAGCTGGCTGACCACCCCCAACCCCGACGGAGATGCCACGGGAGGACGGCCTGGCAACACTGAAGGTCACACCTTGAAACCTCCACAGAGCTGCTTGCTCCTGCACACCAGGGGTTGCCCGAAGTTACAACCACAACCTTCTTTTCTGTGACCACCACACAGCCCAACAGAGACACAAGGTTTCCGTGGTGGCTTAGTTTTTAGGCCTGTTCCTGGGGTTATTTGGGGCGCTAATTTTAAAAAACTTCCTTGGACAGATGGCATGAGGCGAAATTTCTTAAATATGGTGTTCCACATGCTCCACGCCACTAAGTTAGCCTCATGTATTCACGATGTCAAGGGTTTCCACGTGCAGCCATCCACTTGATGACGGTGAGTTTTGAGTTTCAAATACGACCCACAACTTAAAGGATAAGACCCCTCAAAAAGGTAAGAATATCTGAAAAACTAATTAGGTATTAAGGGATTTCCCAGGGAAGCTGTAGATGGACCCACGGTGACTAGTTGGTTAAGAATTCAACTGCCAATCATAAGGTCAGTGGTTCAAACCTGCCACTCACTCTGCAGCCTTTCAGAGATGTAAAGGTTTGGAACCCCCAGGGGCAGTTCTCCGTCTGATAAGCCAGTCTGAGTTAGAATCCATGAGAGGGCAGTGGGTTTTCCCTTGTGGTGTGGGGGGCCGCCCATCTACGTAGAGCCTACCAGTTGGGTCCTGCACAGCCAGGACGCAGCCTGGGAACTGAAAAAGCCCCTCCAGGGTGTCGAGAACAGCTGCTCAGCAGTCTTCATACACATTTGGAAGATCTAAAATTTCCTCCTCAAATTGTGCAGTAAACATGTCAGAACACATTTCCATGTGTAGAAGTCGACGGACAACGTGTTCAATGCCTCAGAGGTGGTATCGACTCCTTCCTAAGAAAATCCTATCTTTTCTTTTAAGAGTTTCTGTGCACAGGTGGAGAAGCCGTGCCGGAGCATTTTACTTTTAGCTGTAGGAAGGAAGTTTGAACTCTGACCAACTATTTGGATCTCTATCGATTGTACCAAACTCACTACCAGTCAATCGATTAAAACTCATAGTGAACCCGTGGGACAGAGGGGGAACTTCTCTTGTGGGTTTCTGAGGGCAGAAGTCCTTTTCTGGGAGCAGAAAGTCTCATCTTGGGGAAAATTCCAAGTTCATGTCATTTACACGGTTCAAATATATCTCTGGACCAAAGGCCAGCCGGTGAAGTATAACTTGACCTAAACATTTACCACGACACAAAGGGCTTTAAACAAAGCCAGTGTGCACTGCTAACAGAACATTAAACTATCCTGATGTTTTGTGGGCGAGGAGGGCCAAGGGTGGTGCCTGGCTTATGTCCCATATTTCAGAATCCAGAGCTTCTGGGGGAAATGAGTGTCGTTTTTGGAAGCAGCAGGTCAAATATGCCCAGAAATGAGTCTGGCATTTAGGCACAACCATGCATGCTGGTCAGGGTTGTCAATGTTTGCCAAGCATCATGCGCCACTACCTAGGCCGCCTGAGGAGGGTGTGGGAGAGGCCCCCGGGCAGCCAGGTCCACTGATCTGAATCTGGGCGTGGGCTCGATCTTACCTGCCTCCTCTGTGGGCCTGCTACTGGGTCTGGGTCCAGGCTCAGCCGGCCCCTGGGAACCTGAAGGTTCAGGCCCACCCAGGCGCCAGGTCACTGGTTCCACCAGGGTGACTTGGGATTGTGCCTTCATTCGGTAGAGGACTTGGTTGAGCTCCTTCTTGGGCACTTGGCATTTCTTCACCAGCTGGGAGGTCTTCAGGGGGCAGCCAGCCTCCCGCAGCACCTGCAGGACACTCTGTTGCAGCTCACCTAGGAGGGAGGACGGTGGCTGGGGGACTGAGGCTCCTTCTGCCACCCTGCCCTCAGACAGGCTCCCAGCGGGGCAGCAGGGCCCCCTTCTCCCTCCTCCTGGAGCAGGCAGAAGCCCCAGGGTCCCTGTAGCTGGGAGGGACCTGCTGCTGCCTGACCAGAACCCGACAGGCACTCACACGGGGCCCCGCCCCCTCAGGTCTCAGCCACCCAGTGTGCACCCAGATTGTTCCATGCCCCCCAGGGCCTGCAGACCCTGCTCAGCTGGCCAGCACTGACTCCCTCCCTTCAGTCCACTCACCCTGGGTCTTTGTACCTGGTCGGGTGGGAGCTCCGGGCGGCGGGTGCTGCTAGTGCGGCTCTCTGAGAATGGCCTCAAAGACCCTAGCCTGTTTCCCGGGGCAGCCCTTGTCCTAGCACAGCATTGGGTACCCGGCGGGCACTCAGAAGCCAGCAGTGGGTGGATGGGTGAGGAGGTGAGTGGGTGGGTAGGGGGCTTAGTGAACGAGGGAGTGAGGGGGTGGGTGGGTGAGGGAGGAGGTAAGTGATTGAGGGGGTGAGTGGATGAGTGGCGGGGGTGGATTGGGTGAGTTAGGGTGGGATGGATGAGTGAATGGGCAGGAGGGTGGACAAGAGGGCAGGTAAGTGGGTGGGTGGGTGAGTAAGTTGGTAAGGGGGTGGGTGGGTGACTGAGTGAGTGGGTCCCGGTCATTGGGATTCCTCCCAGGGCAAATGCTCTCCCATCAGACCAAGCTGCTCTCCGGGGAGCTGGGCCTGGGCTGAGGGGTAGGGGTAGAGCCAGAGCCCAGATGGGGTGAGCTGTCTCGCTGGTCCCCAGGGGCTTCTCGTCCCCAAGAACCCCAGGAGGCTTGTGGGTAGAGCACCTTTCACATTTTCTTTCCTGGTGCTGGGTTGACTGGGGAAGGAGATAAAGGGGCAGATCCCCTGGTGGTTACAATGTTTCATTCTCCATGAGCCCAGGGCAAAACAATACACCACCTGGGGTGTCACCCCTTTCCGGAAATGACACCCAGTGGGTAGAGGGGTGGGGCATCCCCCTGGTCATGCAGCTTGGTCTCTGCCTCGTTTGGGAAATTTTGGATCCTTGGGGCACCTGCTCAGGAGGCTGGCTCTCCTTCCCCCCTGCTCGGCCGCCACTCCCGCCGCCTAGCCCTCTAACCCGGAAGTGGGGGCTCAGTGAGGGTGTGAAGCAGAACTCAGGGCCTGCCCAGCCCCTGCCCCCCAGCCAGTGTGTCTGGACACAGGGCCCGATGTGAGTGGGCAGTTGAAAGGGAGGTTACATCAGCCGGGAAGAAACCTTCACTGAGTGGCCTGGACATCCCTCTCCCCACCCCCTGCCGCCCACCCCCAGCACCCCCCATCCCTCCTTGGGGCCCTGTGGTGGCGGTTCCCCCACATTTGAGAGGCCTACTGGCTGGGTGACTCCTCAGTGCCTCAGTTTCTCATCTGTGATGTGGGCGTAAGAGCAGCACTACTTCCAAGTCTGGGGGGTGGGGATGGGGTGGAGCATTAGCAAAGAGAAGACAGTAGTACAAAGGACTGGCCCCCAGCCCCCGGCCCACAGAGACCACCACACTGAGTAAGTGCCTGAGCCCAGTTACCCTCAACCTTTGCTGATCTGGCACAACAGGGTGGGTGGGGTGGGTGAGGGGGCGGGACACGCCCTCTCGCATGCGCATCTTGTCAAACAAAGCTGCTTCCCACCCAAAATACCCCTGGCTCCACCCCAAAAAGTCACATCCCCTCTCCCAGCCTGGTCTTGCCCTCCATAAAGATGGCGAGGAAGGCCTGGCCTTTGTCACTGAGGGCTGTGGTTGGGAAGATGCACCCAAGGGTGTTGCCCGGCACCTAGAACCCTGGGGGCCGAGTGAACCACGCCCGGAGCCAAGACCCATGGGGCCTGACGTGTGAACCCACCAGCCGTCCCTTGGGAAAAAGATGAGATTTTCTACTTCTGCCGAGTTCTGGCTTTGGAACCCCAGGGGAAGTTCCACCCCGTCCTAGCGGGTCGCTGTGAGTGCCCATGGGCTCACTGGCAGTGAGTTTTGAGTTGAGCACGTTAAGAAAAAAGTGCCAACCCACTGGCCTAGCGACGGGAGCTCTAGTGGCATCTTGGGCCTCGCCACGCTGCTGTGCTCTGAGCCATTGAAGGAACCAGACCCCGAAGCTCCCACCCTGGACCCCCCAGCCCCCCAAAATACTTTTTTTGCCGGAAAAGATACTGTACCTTTTGTGTCTGGGTCAATGGGGGCTTCAGCCATGCTGAACAGTGGCCTCTGGCTCCTGGTGCAGTGACCTGGCCTGTGTGGGTGAGTGGAGGCTGGGTCCCTCTTTCTGGGCAAGTCTTGGGTCCTTCAGCCCCCGCTGGTAGCTGGCAGATCTACACCCAGGAAGTTTAGGCTGACTGTCTGGTCATCCAGATCTGCAGAACTTTCCGCAGAAGAAGAAAATGAAACTAGCGTGTGGAGCTTAGTCAAGAGACAGAATCGAAAGCACAGCTGATGAGCTGGACAGGGTGACACCCGCCCCTGTCCCACCCACACTTAGACGCTGGCGGGGAGGCATCTGCTGGGGGTGACCAGAGTATTCCAGTGGGGCTCCCTGCCGCCCCCCCCCCCCGCTGGCACAGAGAGGAGACAGCCAGGGGCCAGGGCCCCCGTGGTTCACCCCTGAGCTGTGAATCCCAGTCTCCTGAGAGTGAGTGCCTCACCTGGGGCAGGTGAACAGGAAGGGGCCTCTTTCCCAGAGGACAAACAGGTCTGGGGTGCCTGAGTGCATGACAAAGGCGGGTTTACCTGCCACTGCCTTTTGTTTCCTGGCTGATTGCTGCCCCATAAAATCTAGCTGTCTGGGGCACCTGTCCTCAGCCCACAGACCACATCAAGCTCTGAAGCAGGGTTAGAACCACAGACCAGAAAATGCCCCCTTGTAGCTGCTTCTCCGACCTGCTCCCAGGACAATCTCTGGGGTAAGGCTCGGTTGCCAGGGTCACAAAAACAAGCCCCAAACCAAAAGCCATCGGGTCAATACCAACTCACAGCAACCCTGTGGGGCAGGGTGGAGCTGCCCTGTGGGTCTCCAGGACTGTCAGTCTTTAGGGGAGCACACAGCCTCATCTTTCTCCCGCAGAGCAGGGGGTGGGTTCCAGCCACTGAGCTTGGGGTGAGCAGCTCAATCGGTACCCCATCAGGACAGTGTTGGGGTTCAAACCCAGTCCCGGCCCCACTCTCCGCTGTCTGTGTGACCTGGGGCGTCAATGGCGACGTTGCATTGGCCCCCCCGTGACTGCGTGTGCGTTTTCACCACAACAGAAAGAGGGGGCATGGTACTTACCTTAGGGGTGCTGGTGGGAATAGACGAACAGCCCCACCTCAGCCCACCCCTCTGCATCCTTCAAGGGCCCCGTGACCCCCAGGCCACATCAGGGGGAGCGGAGGCGCTGAAAGGATGGGTTTTGAGTGGGCACACCAGGGCTGAGGGGTCCACGATTCCCCTGACTTGGTCGTCGCGGAGTAGGCTGGAGGTGCCCGGCTGCCGGTTCGAATCGACCCTCTGGGGAGCTTTGAAGGGTTCCGATGGGTAGGCTGCACCCAGACCATCGGGTGGGCACCTGCGGGATGAGGCCAGGCCTGGCCACCCCCTCGATGTAAGCCTGAGGAGGTGTCCTGTCCACATGGCACTCACTCTTCCTAGTCACCCCGTAGAAAGTCCCGTCTTACTCCTTTCGGATACCGATCGCTGCCCAAGCGTAGGCACTATGCCACCAGGGTGGATGGCGTTAAGGTTTAGGTAGGGGCGATTTGAGGTACTCATGTAGGTTGTGGCATGGGGCCCCCCCGTGGTAAGGCAGGCCTCGGCTACTGCCGGGAGAGGCGGGTATGGGGGTGTGGATGGAGACGGGCAGGGAGACAGTTCCGGGACTGGCCACCAGGTGGCAACCGCTCACCAACAGGTCATCTCGCTGACGTTGGGAGGCCCCTGCCTGTCCCCTGGCACCGCTGTCTTAGCAGGGCATGGTTCCAGCGGCACTTCTGAGCTGTGTGAGGCCGTCCACTGAGCCTGGGCGAGGACAGCCCTGCCCGAGTTGGAAAATGTGGTGTGATGTGTCTGCACAAAACGGCTTCAGGCACTGAGCATCAGCAGCAGAAGTTCAAAACAAGGAGTAAGTCACTAGGGATGCATGTTTGGTTAAAAGGAGAGCGAGGAGCGTTGGTGGGGAAGCTCCACCCTCTGATAGATTCCTGGGCACGTGGAGGGGAGCCTACTCAAGCTGCCATCAGCTTGTATTTCCCCTCTGGATGGGAAAGATTGTCAGGATAATCATGACCCTGGCCTTGATGTCAAGCGATACACTTGCTTCTCTTTCTCTCACAACCTTCTGGTGGGTGGTCGAGGTTCAAATCATAATTCACACAGGGAAGGGAGGGGAGAGGAGGGGAAGGGAGGGGGAAGGAAAAAAACAGGGAGGAAGGACAGATAGACAGACGCTGTGGGGCAGTTCCAGAGTCATGTTGGTGTGTTAGTCCGGGTTGACTAGAGAAACAAATTCATAGACATTCATATGTGTGTAAGAGAGAACTTTATATCAAAGCACAAAGAAAACATCCCAGCCCAGTCCAGATCATGTCCGTAAGTGCGATATTAGCTCATGTGTCCAACAGCAGTCTATAAGTTCCTCTTCAGACTCACAAAACACATGCAATGATGCAGAATGCTGGAAGATCAAAGGCCTGTGGGTGGAAAGTCTTGTGGATCCAGTGGCATTATAAACATCTCAGGGCTGGCGTGGGTCTCCACGTGGCTCCTCCAGCTCCAGGGCTCTTGCTCCATCAGCGTAGCTCCATGTGGCTTGTCAACAGGAATGTCTCCCAGGGAGAGTGTGTGTCCCGCCTTCAGGGAGGAAGACAGGAGTTCCCAGAATCTTTAGGCGAAGGCCATGCCCACACAGAGGCCTCATTGGCGAGGGCCTGATTGACAAGCTAGACCCCACCCTTCTCAAGTTGACAGATGATGTAACTGCCACAGCCGGGTTGCTATGAATGGGAATCAATTCAACAGCCACAGCATTGCTGGAAGATAGAGAACAGCTATGTTGGAGAGCTCATTGCTCCAGCCACTGGGAGGGTCTGCAGGCCCCCAGACAAGGGGCCAGGCTGCCCCGCTGCGGACTTACACATGCCTGCCCACTGGAAGCTCCACCACACAGGCAGTGTCCATGAGGCAGAGCTCAGGATGGCTTCTCCGGCTGGGAGCCTCCCGTTCAGCGTGGAGGGCAGAGGGGAAGGTGGCGGCCCCGGGCACCTGCTCACGGGCCTTGGGAAAGGCCTTCTGAGGCTGCCATGCTTCCATGTTGGCACCCGGCCCACTGGAGCCCCCTCTTTCAGCCTTAGGAGGCGCGCTCCCTCCTCAGGGCCCGTGTTTTTCTGGAAACTATTAGAACTCTCCGCCCAAACCAGATGATAATTGCATGTTACTGATCTTGAGCCTTTACAGTTCTCTCTCCGTCTTTTAAAAGAGAGATATTTTTACTGCACATTGTGTTGGCAAAACCCCAGTCTCCTTTCTCCCAGGCTGCCTCGATCTTATTCCCAGATTTGCTCTGGGAATTCACAGCAGGGGGAGGAAAAGTCTGAAGGCAAAGTCAGGGAAGCAGAGGTGGGATGGAGCCAAGCCTGGGCCCAAGAGCCAACAAAGCTGCATGTCCCGAGGCCCCGGGCTCTCTGCTGGGGTCTCCAGAGAACAGTCCCTGGACTCTGGCCCATGTCCTTCAAAGCACTTCCATTCTACCATGTCCACAGGAGCTGGGCGGGCTGGGGGTCTGAGCCTGGCTCCCCGATTGCTCTCAAGTGGGAAGCCCCAGGGGCAGTTCTGTTCTCCCCCATGGGTCCCAGTGAGTCGGAGACGATGGGTTTTGAGAGCCCGGTCCCCTCGAGGCACCCTGGTGGTGCAGCGGGTTAGGCACTGAATCACTGACCATGGTGAGGCTGGCCACCCCTCTGTCAGGCTCCACAGTGGCCCTTTGGGACTGCTTTATGGTCTCGGAAACCCGTCTAGGGTCACTATGCGTCAGAATCCAATTTGCGGCACTGGGTTCAGGTGCAGCCCCGGGATCCTGCGGGGACAGTTCGACCCCATCTGTATGGTCTCTGATTCAGAGGGGACTCATCTGTTTATAAGGTGGCTGGGGGCGGGTCTGAATCACCTCCACAGCTGTGAGTCTTTGGCCTGTTCTCCAGCTGGGTTTGCAGGGGTGGGGGTGGGGGGGTGTGTCATCAAAGGGGGAGGAGATCCATGCTGGGTCCTGAGCCACCTCCCACTCCAGGGGTGGGCAGACTCTTGAACCTGCCACCCCCAGTGGCCCCGGCCAGTCAAGGAGGGCTGGGCCTGGCATCAGCAGCACCTGCTGAAGGGTGGCTCATGGTTTCAGGGAGGTGGCCGGCCAGGCCGGCCAGGGACATTAGGTTTTCCTAGAAGCCAAGGATGGGCCACAGGTGCTTGGGACATTTGGACAAATCTTCATAGCTGTTGGGAGAACAGTTGGCAGGAGGTGGTCAAGGGAGGGGCCAGGTCCACCGGAGAGGACTTTAGCCAGCATAGACCCTTGGAGACATCCCCAACTGTCTTTAGAAAGCCACCCCACCCCCTGGTTCCGAAACATGCATGCAAACTCACACCTCATGCTTTCTTTCATAATGGATTTTGTATAATTTTATTTCAAAATGCACTTGCCGATAAGAAATCGATTTCCTTACAATCAGCCCCACTTTCTCCACCACGCGTGGGGCGTTCTTGGGGACCCCTGCCTGTGGAGGGTGCGGGGGCTTCACCCAGCCGTCCTTTTCCTTGGTCATGAAGGGCATTGAGATTTTTATGATGATGAGCTGGAACAATGGACGTACATGACTTCATGTTGGGGGTTTCTAGACCTTTAATTAAGCTTTTATTGATTTCTAATTGGCAGGATTCCCCCCTCCCCCGCTTCCATCCTTTGGCAACGGGTCTTTTCCAAGGTTCTTGAAGCCGTGTGGAGCCTGAGGTCCTAAGATGTGCGTGCCTGGGGGACCAGATGGGGAAGTGGGGAGATGTGGGCCATGGACACAGGGACCTTGCACAGAATGGGGTGCCCAGACTGGGCCGAACAGGAAGGGGGCATTGTTGGGAATGGGGCAAGGTTTAATGTGCTCACATTTCAACATCTCTTCTTCTCATCTGCAGTGTGTGACGGTTCTGCAGTTCCACCCAAGGGCCTGGAAGGCCCGCC